ATCCTTCTTCTTCACAAACAAGATGGGTGCTCCCCACGGCGAGCTACTCGGCCGAATAAACCCCTTCCCCAGCAACTCCTGAAGTTGCGAGGATAACTCCTGCATCTCTGGAGGCGCAAGGCGATACGGCACCTTAGCAATAGGTGCGGCCCCCGGAACCAAATCGATGCCAAACTCCACTTGCCTCGCGGGAGGCACTCCTGGTAACTCTTCGGGAAATACATCTGGAAACTCCCGCACCACCGGAACTTCCTCCACAGAGCTCGGTCTCTCGGAGATCACTCGCGTATCCATCACATACGCTACATAACCCTTACAGCCCTGCTGTAAACACTGTCTCGCCCTAGCAGCCGAACAAAAGGCTGATCCAGAACGTGTACCCTCGCCGTACACTGAAAGAACTCCCCCACTAGGATCTCGTATAGTCACCAGCTGTCGCTCGCAATCGATAACCGCACCGAATCGGCTCAACCAATCCATGCCCACTATAACACAAACATCACCCATCGCAATCGGAATCAGGTCGATCGGAAACTCGACCCCGAATATCTCCAATACACATCCCCGGAAGACCTCTGTAGCACAAATCACCCTGTCGGCGGCTATGGAAACCCGCAGGGGCCGACTCAATACTCCACGACTAACACTGATACGCTGACTAAATGCCAAGGACACAAAAGATCGACTCGCACCCGAGTCAAATAACACTAAAGCAGGTACAGAATTCACAAGGAAGGTACCTAAGCATAGCATGATATAAGCATAATATCTCAACACCATAAACAATAATGAAAAGGAAACATACCAGCCACAACGTCGGGTGCGGCGCGGACCTCTTCCGCAGTCAGCTGGAAGGCTCTCCCCCGAGCCCTCGGTGCCTCGGCCTTCACGGGCCGACTCTCTGCAGCAATAGCTCTGATGGCGGCGGGAGCAGACCCCTGAGATGCTCCGCGCAGCAGCGGACACTCCGCCTTCCGGTGTCCAGTCTGGTTGCAGTGGAAGCACACTGCAAATCCCTTGGGGCAGTCCTTAGCCATGTGCCCCTCCTTGCCACATTTGTAGCAAGACCCTGCCCGACAGGCGCCATCGTGACCCTTGCCGCACTTCCCACAAGTGCGGCCCTTCTGGCTCCCGGGTCTGGGATCAGCGGGCTTGGCCCGCTTGGCTGCCGGCTGGGACTGTGCCGGTCGCCGATCCCTCCCCATAGACTCCGCCTCCTCCCTGGCCTGAGTCTCAAGCTCAATCTCCCTCTTCCGAGCATTTGCCTGAAGCTCGGCAAATGTCCGGTACGAGGAGTTCGCAGCGAACTCCCGAATATCCCGCCTCAAAATGCTCAGATAACGGCTCATACGTGCCTGCTCGGTGGACACGTGCTCAGGGCAAAACATCGCCCTCTCCTGGAACATCCTCGTAATCGCTGTAACTGACTCGGTACCCTGCTTGAGGGTCAGAAACTCCTGTGCCAGACGTTCCCTCTCCACCTGAGGAACATACTCATCTCGGAACATGGAAGTGAACCTCTCCCAGGTCACTGCCGAAAGCTCAGTCGGTGTGAAATGCGCAGTCACAAACTTCCACCAGTCCTTCGCTCCCAAGCGAAGCTGGTTCAGTGCGAACCGAACCTTCAAATGCTCAGGGGACGAGCAAGTGAAGAAGCATCCCTCCATATCAGATATCCACCTCATAGCTGCCACCGGGTCCTGCGTACCATCAAACTCTGGTGGCTTGGTGTTGCTGAACTCCCTGAACAACATCGCATCACCTCCCTGGGGTCTCGCCGCAGCAATCGCTGCGGTAGCTGCTGCAACCGCAGCCTCAGAAAGAGCGGCATAGCGCTCGTCAAACGTCTCAATCAAAGCGGTCTTAATAGACCCGAACATCTCTGGTATCTCGGCTCTGATGACCGCAGCCACCTCCTCATGAATGATCTGTCGAATGTCCTCATCACTAGATCCGGCATCCTCCGGCATGTGTCGTGTCCTCACCATGATCAACCTCTGAAATACAACATGCGATAATTAGAATTCACTCGAACACTCTTACATTCAACAATCCACCCCTCCTTGATTCTTGGCATCCCCAGATTCTTATTTGAACTGTGTACCGCTCCGGTGCTTTTAGTAGTACGGGCCCAATACTACTGTCCGCACCGTCTCGGTACACACTCCAAATCGTCCTCTTCGGATCCCAGTCCCCAAGTACTCTATTATACTTAAATCTCTCTGAACAGATCTCACACAAACCCTAGCTGCTACCTAATTACTCTCAGCGTCTCATAGCAGCTCACCATTCCCTAAGCTAAGGCATCACAAAACAGGCCACTCTAGCCCTATCAGCAATACCTAGCCTACTCTAGCATGCACACACATCACAATAATAGTTATTACATAACAAAAGATATTTTGGGAATTCACCGTTCGGGCGCTGACTGATCGTACACACGTTTCTTCCTGGAAAACCCTTTACTCTTAGAAAATTTTGGTTTTTATTTTGAAATATCTCTTCATTTCCTCAGTTTGAGTTCAAATACCCCCGAAGGTGTACCCGAATCCCTCAAACCAAGGCTCTGATACCAATTTGTAACACTGAATTTTTCAAACAAAATTTTCGATTTTTATAAAAGCATAATTCCATCAATATTCATAGAAACAACCCCTTTTTAATTGTTCAACAATATATTACAAAATCCCAAGATCAAAATGTCAAGCTCCAAACGTGTGTGTACGGATCAAGCCGGCGCCTTCCCACGGTCGTCACTAGTACCTGAAACAAATAACATCAACACTGTAAGCACAAGGCTTAGTGAGTTCCCAAAATACTACATATAACACATATTAGCCACTCGAGGCTATAACTCTGTGGGTCCGTGCACCCAAACTCTGTGAACCCTCAGGTTCTAACTCTGTGAACCTTCCGGTTCTAGCTCTGTAAACATGCACAGCATCAAACACATAAAAGTAATGCAGTACAACACATAACATACATAGCATACAAATACTCTAACACATAACTCTGATTACCTACTCAAGGTAAAGTATAGTGAGAAGACTCACCTCGTGTGTATCGGTAAACCGTAACCCTGAAATCACTAAACACTCGATCCGCCGAGCTGAAGTCCCCCTATAGCACAATATATCTCTAATTAACACTTTCTCAACTAGGGTTGACCATACCATAACAGGACAAACTAGGTCAACGCTGGTCAACGGTCAACTTGACCGGACTCGACGAGTGCACTATAGCGACTCGGCGAGTCTGAGCGAAATCACCAATTTCCCTGAAACCCTCTCTTGACACGTCGAGCATCCCCTCCCAACTCGACGAGCTCCACCTGGCACGAGTTGTGGGGCCACCACGACTCAACTCGCCGAGTCTCAAGAACGACTCGGCGAGTCCGGTTTGACTCGGTCCACCTATCCATCTTGACTCCCCCCCTTGACCCACTGAGTTCACTCATCCCAACTCGGCGAGGCCACTCGCTGAGTGGTCGTGCAGCATTCAAGCTACTCGCCGAGTCTGTTCTTCGGACTCGGCGAGTCAGAGCCATGCACTGACCCAATCTTGCTCTAAAGGCCAGATCCAGTCCACTAATCCATAGATCCAGTCCCCCCATGCTTATTTAGCACGTAAAGTCACAATCTTGATGCATAAATAACCTCTACATGATCACAAATGATGTTTTTGACTCTATTACTTCAACACAAGGCCAAGGACTCCATTTTCACCCATAAAGCTTGATGAGTGAGGCCCTCTGGACCTCTATGGATCCAGATCCATGGTCTCAACTCAAAGAAGGAACAAAAGGGCACCAAATCACCCCATAAATGATCATATTAAGCCCTAACTTGCATCAAGTTTCACCAAACAGAAAATGGTCCGAAAATAATACCTCTAGGGTGAGGATCCAAGCTCCAAATCCACGAAATAGCAACCTCCTTTGCTTCCTCTTGCCTAGAGCCTCCTTCTTCTTGCTAAACAACACTCACAAGGTCAAGATTTGCTCTCAATCCTTCACCAAACGCTCAAGAACTCTAGGGACACACTCTGGGGGTTGGATGAGCGCAAATGACGGCCATAAGGCCCCTTAAATAGGCCACAAACCCGGGGATTTAGGGTTCCATAACACAGCGCAGACTCGCCGAGTCCATACCCTGGACTCGCCGAGTCCAAGCGCGCACCTTCGCTCAATCCCGCGTCTCTACTCGGCGAGTCTGAGCCCCGACTCGCCGAGTCCCTCTTACAAAATAACATAATTAAACTTACATTATACCTGGGAAAAATCCGGATGTTACATTATGAGCTCAGACACCTAATCCAACAGGTTTGTGTATACAAAAGAAATTAGGTTATGATTTTTTTTCCCAAAAAATATGCCACAGTTGAACTGAAACCCTAATATACAAGATTTAATTTTGGAGATTGATTTTCTTGCAAATATGTTGCAATCTAATATAGCTGATTTTATAAAGTTGTCTTATGAGATATAAATATGAATGAGCGGAAAATTTAAAATTTAAAATGCAGAATCAATAAGTTGATACGTGAAATGATATTAATTATGAGGTATAAGAAAATGATACATGATAAAAAAAATTATTCTTTTATTAATATATATATATATATATATATATATATATATATATATATATATATATATATATATATACACACACATATGTCGGAGACGATATGTTGTCTCTATAGTTTTTTAGAAACTCGCCAACATTCATGCCTCATCTATAGAGGCGATATGTTGTCGCTATAGATTATGAATTCAAAATTTATTAATTAGTCAGCTTGTATAGATGATATATTGTCTCTATATATCATTTATAGCGAATATTTATGTATCCTCAATAGGTTTGTGTATGAGTAGGTTTGTGATTTTTTGGATAAAAACTAGGGTAAAGAATTAAATAATAGCGGAGATTATTTTTCCTAGAGGATTATGAAGGCGGATCTAAGATGTTGTAAAATAAGTTATTCAAATTTCAAACTATATGTCTTTCACAGGTACAAGTGGTCCTCAAAACGCAGGCCCACTTCATCTTTTTTGCTTTCCTATACTTCCCTTTTTCTCTATATCCATTTGTCTACATACTACATAGGATACAACATTTGGATCTTCCATAACAATATGGAAGATCAGCATTTAGGTATGGTGTGCAACCTTGGTGATGGCGCTGGTGCTTTTACAGATATGTTGGTGTCTATTTCCAGTAACCGGCACCGCAAGATGAAGGTGGAGATAGCCAACCACCCTCTCTACCAACAGCTTCTCTCCGCCCATATCGGGTGTCTCCGAGTTGCCACACCTATCGACCAACTGCCCCTCATCGACAGCCAACTCCCCCACTTGCAGCATCTCCTCCACTCCTACAACTCCGACCCCCACCACCACCCTCTTCCTCCCGACGACCGCCGTGACCTTGACAATTTCATGGTAATTTTCTCGAATTGTTTTCTTCTTGTGTTTCTTTAATTATGTAAATTCGTAATATTTTTATTAAAGTAAATTAACTACTTGAATGGAACAGGCACAGTATTTGGTAGTTTTGTGTGCATTTAAAGATCGCCTGCAACAACATGTCAGAGTTGATGCTGTTGAGGCTGTCATGGCCTGCCGTGAAATTGAGCATAGCTTACAAGCTATCACCGGTACCCTCTTTCCTCCTGTTGTATAGATGCACATGTATTTGCAGTAGAATTCTGATACACATTGATATGTGTTTACGATATTTGCAGTAGAATTCTGATCTTCTTTATCTTCATTTAACCTTTTACATAGAACACCAACCATAGTACTTTAATTAAGATTCAATCTTTTGCTTCATTAATTAAAAATAAAATATCTTATGATATTTGGGCGCAGTTTCGTGGACGCCACAACTATCATCACCATGGACCAAATAAAATAACAAATTATTAGTTTTAATTAATATATTAAGGTGGTTGCAATGTGGGACAATGAAACTATCACCACCAACTATAGCTTAGGCTAATCATGGGCCATGGCCTCACCTTTAAGGAATCACTTAATATTACGATAAAGCAAGATAAGTTGGGCTCACCAACTATTGATTAATGGAGCATGACAACTCAAAGAGCTTGAATGAATGTGTAGAACTTTTGCTTGTAAGCTTTTACAAATAATTTATCTAAATCTTTTATTTTTAAAGAGAGTCGATGCTTACTTACATTTACACTACGAATGCCTTTATAAAATGCCCAAACAAAAGATTTAAGGCCAAACCTGCATATTCTTTGTAGAGATATATCTGCAAAGTTTTTTTCAAACTGCGACAATGTACACATGAGATCATTTAAGCGTCTTGTGGTCCAAAGGCCTAAAATAGTAAATTTCCACTGTACAGTTGTACTATTTAGTATTTAATTATAGCAAAAAAAAAAAGGTGAAGTCATGCCTTGAAAATAGTACCATATGAAAATTGGAAAATTTTCTTTACCCATTATAATTTGTATGACAATAAATTAGATCACTATGAATCGATAACGGTTATTATATAGGTTAGAATGATTATAATTAAGCATATTACAATCTATTAACATTTGTAGTAAACATATATAACATAGTCAATATATTGGGTCGTTTAATCTATTAAAACTAGTAAAATGAATTTACAATCTATTCATATTAGTATAAAGTATGTGTTTTGAAGCATTTATCAATATAATTTTTGTAAAGTCTTCATGCATTTAGAGCAACGTTATTCAACCTCATAGCAGCAACCATTATTGCTATGCCATAATATATTTTATAAAAACATCTAGTTAAAATCAATATGATTTTAACTTCGGTAGACATCATCGTCATCACGATTCTCTATTCTCAATTAAAATAAAATATATAAATGTCAAATCATATTCTTTTAATAGATGAATCAAAAACATTATTGAAAACATTACCTCCCATTTGGAAATATACAGCTACAATATATTGTTGCTTTAGTGTTAAAAGTTAAAAAAGTGTTTGTAAATATAGACCTCATTTACTCCTTACATCGCAATTTTTTTTTTTTCCAACAAAATACTTTTTTTTTAAGTTAGTATTGGTATTGGTATAATTTTTTATATTGTGATTATAAAATAAATTACAAGCTCTAATTAAATACTGTAATTTAATAGATGTCTTTATTGGAGTGGTTGGGTTGATACCTAAATTGTCTGTCACTAACCACAAAATGATAATATAAATATAAAGTAAAATTTCAATGACACATTAATATAACAATTACTTTTTATTGGTAAAAAGTAATCAAAATCTTTAAAAAAATATATTTATTTCAAACAATTAAAAAAAAAGTAATATATATATATATATATATATATATATATATATATATATATATATATATATATATATATATATATATATATATATATATATATATATATATATATATATATGGAAAGTGAATATACCGTTGAGGATATATAAGCTTAGGTACCCAAACTCACCATAATACGTCGTTTTGTATCATATATATACATTGTAATTGTCTAATGTTCTTATAATTCAACTTCTAACTTGATTTCATTCAAAGATTTTTATAAATTTCATATTTATTTTCCTCTTACATAATTTCATTTTCAACTATAATATATATAGCTTAATTGATGTTCGTCAAAAAGATGTGATGTAAGAGGAAGATAATAATGAAATTTTGAAAATCTTGAAAGTAAATCAAGTTAAGGATTGAAGTTGAAGAACATTATAATAAATATATAAAAAAAGGACGTATTATGATAAGTTTGGGTACCTAAGTTTATATACCCACAAAGGTATATTCACTTTTCCCATATATATATATATATATATATATATATATATATATATATATATATATATATATATATATATATATAAGTTATAATGTAGATGAACAATTATTATGTGGATTTGTGGACAATGTTATTCTATGAGAGTTACTAAGAGAATATGTTGTTTAGTAATTTCAATACGTTTAACCTTATATAATTATCAGCATTTTCATACATTCTCGCTAATTCTTATTTATTTTTGTTCTCATACATTGTTTATCACTCATTTTCTTTCATACAGAATACGACTCAATAAACATTCTGACAGAATGAGAATAATAATAATAATAAGTCTATAATAACCTTATAGACGATATAACTAGTGAGAATATGTGATAATGACAATAATTATGTAAGATTGAATGTATTCATATTATTAAATAACATATTTTCTTTGTAATGCTCACAAAATAAGAATGTCTGCATAATAGATGTCAATCCACATTTAAACCTAGCTCAATGACCAAAAGGAATGAATGATCAAAAAGTATATTTTCACATACTTTTTAACAAGATGATGAGTAGACAAGATCGAGTTAACGAGGTCCATAGATCTTAGCCTTCTTTTACTCAAAATGAACCGGTTAGAGGTGATATAGTTTATGTTGGTCTAACTGGAGCAATGACGCATATGAGATTGTTTAATGTATTTGTTATTGTAATTTCTCGTTAGCTTTTCATCTATTGACATCTTTAAAAAAAAAATAAAGTTTGCACATGTTTTCTCTTAATTTATATACTCCAAATTAAATTTGGTGTTTTTTTATTGTATTTTTGTAATTTAATTCAGGAGTAACCCTTGGCGAAGGTTCAGGAGCAACAATGTCAGATGACGATGAAGAAGAGATGGGAATGGATTTTCTAGTAGATCAGTCTGCATGTGATATGTTGGGTTTTGGTCCTCTTCTCCCTACTGAATCTGAACGAACTCTTATGGACAGAGTTCGTCAAGAACTGAAAATCGAACTTAAACAGGTTTACACTCAACACTACTGCTCTCTCCTACACGTACACACAAACACACATTTAAACCATACAATCACTTGCATGCATACATGTAGGGATTTAGATCAAAAATAGAGGATGTAAGGGAGGAAATATTGAGAAAAAGAAGAGCAGGAAAATTACCTGGTGATACTACACATGTGCTCAAAGATTGGTGGCAACAACATTCCAAATGGCCATATCCAACTGTAATGAAATAAGCAATAAATATTTTTACATATAATTGAGATAGATATTTGAAGTATTTCATGTTTTGATAAAAAAAAAAACTTACAGGAAGATGACAAGGCAAAACTGGTGGAAGAAACAGGGCTACAACTCAAGCAAATCAACAACTGGTTCATTAATCAAAGGAAAAGGAATTGGCACAATAGTTTGAATCCCATGAACACCCAAAAAACAAAGCGTAAACGATAGAGGAAATTAACTTTGTTTTAATAACTCAAACTTTGGTGGAGGGATGGTAACCTTAGTTGTTAACGCTAAAAGCATATTGTACCTTTCGTTTGTAAAGTATAGACGGCTAACATTGCATGTATATGATTGATTTCTAAACATTGATGACAAACTTACTAAAGTTACTCTCTTTTACTATGATAGCACCTACCGATGTTTGATGAAATGACTCAATAGCTAGTAGTTCTAAAGGTTTTATTTTCAATATGTTCAAGGGGAAATCTATGGTAATCAATTTTTGAGAAAGTGAGATTTCACAAAATACGAAATTTTAATTCGGAGAACAAACTATTTTGGAAATTAAAGATTTATCTTATAGAGATGAAAATAAATTACAAACAAAAAACCATAGGGGTTAATGGTGTTTAAATAGCCTCCAAAACCCTAAAAATCCTTTCGGCCAATGGGTCGGGTGTGTTGCGTCCTTAATAGACAGTCTGCGCCCCCTTGCGAATAAATATAGTTTTTAGTTTTCAGATTTTAGCCAATTGATAAAATTCAAACCAAATTAAATAATGTACCGGGAAATGGATGTTACATGTCTCCTCAAAGGGTGAATACATCCATTTCGTTGACTTTTAAGTGAGATTGAATCACTAGATCAATCATAAAAGATATGTGAAATTAGGTTCGATTCAAACCCTATATTTTAAACTAAATCCTACCACATAAGATCTTATGTGGCTTCCACATCACAATATTATAATGTTATTTATTTGGTAACCTGCTAGATTGATGGTACCCAGTCAATTAGTTTAGAAATGAGTTTGTAGGTATCTTCATTTATAGGGATCTTCATTTATTTGATGTACAAATAAATGACCTTGTAGGATATTCATTTATTTGTTGTACAAATTGACCTTGTAAGGGTCTTAGATCGACCTTATAGGGGTCTTAATTTACTTGTTGCATAAATCAAATTTCTAAATCACAATAACATCTCTTGAAAGGGTGATTATGTATTTTTCACTAACTTATAAGTAAATTTGAACCATTGGCCGACCTGCATTTATTTGTTGTACAAACTGAGATTCTTAATCGAGCTTCTAAACCACAGTAACATCTCCTGAATTGGTCAATTGGTTGACACTACAACAAAATTATAAATGTAATGACGTAATTCAATAAAAAATTGGTGTCAAAATAGAAATTTTGTTAAACTTAGTGACTTTATTACAATTAAGGAAAAATAGTTATCGGGAGAACAAATCATTTGGTTGATATTGCAACAAAATTGTAAATATAATGACATAATTGAGAAAAAAAATTAACTCGATGTCAAAATCGAAATTTTGTGATAATATAGTGAATTTCTTACAATTTGCCCTATTAAATAATATTAAAAGAAATTAATATTAAGAATTAAAGGAGTGTTAAAAGTGACTTAAAAGCAGAATAGTAACTTCAACTCGGGGCAAATTTTAGAACCTAAACACATGACAACTCAAGTTGCCACCCATCATCAAAAAGTGGTTAAATTATAACTCTTTATAGTATTTATCTCAACATTAATATTTCCCGCTCATCATACATTTTCCAGTTGTACACTTCCCTACGTTCCTTTTTCATGCCTCCTTCATGAATTCATTTTTAAAAAACGATTATTATCAAACCATCTCCTTCAATCGTAGGTTTTCCATCTCGTTTTCACGTTCTTCCCTGAAATCGATTCTTCCAACGCCTTCAATCGCAAGTTCTCCTCTTCTCATCAAGTACGCATTCTCTTTTCTTCATCAGGTATGCATTCTCCTTTCTTCATCCTCTTTCGGCAACTCCTTTGTGCTCTTAATTCATGAAATCGATTTCATAAAAGTACCGATTTTCGTTGTAGAGAGGGATAAAAGTTCCGATTATTTTGTTATTGAATTATTTGATTTGTGCTCTTGATTTTTCAAAATCTGAATGGGAAAGTTCTAATTTTTATCGTGAGACATCCCAAAAATACAGTCCAAAATTTTCGTTTTTAAATTATTAATAAAATCATAAATATTATCATCATCATAGAAAAATCATAAACCATGTATCTCAAAATAAAGTAATATCTGTCATCATATCAAAATCTCATATCAAATATCAGAGTAAATCTCCCAGGCTAGAAAACTATGTTGTGTGTCATGCGATCAACCTGAGCCCTTCCCTTCGCTAGCTGAAGTATCTGAAACCAAACTAAAAACAATAAGCACAAACCTTAGTAAGCTCCCCTACACTACCACATACCATACACATATATCATAGAGCATATAACACAACTATGAGACACCGCCCAACTGCATCAGGATGAACACAGTATCAGCTTACCCGACATCGGACTCCTACCAGGCATTGGGCTCACCCCGACATCAGACCACGTTTGACATTGGGATTTCGGGCTTACCCCGACACATACACGACATATCACATATCATATACACATAATCATAACATATAACATATAACCAACATGCATCGGGCTTGCCTCGGAACACATAACATATAACATAATATATAATATCTAACTAACATGCATTGGGCTTACCCCAAAACCCATAACAAATAAAATAACATATAACATCTAACTAACATGCATCGGGCTTGCCCCAGAACCCATAACACATAACATGCATGAATCACAAAGACATCTAGCATACATATACTCTTCTCGGGACCACCCTGGCATCAGACTGAAGCCCGGAAACATGAAATCTGCATTGGGCTAACCCCAGCATCGGGCCGAAGCCCGACATACTCTAAATACATAAATAGGCCGGTAATGGTGCCTTCAACCTGTTCCTACTGGAGGAAAACTCACCTCGTAAGGCTGACTATTGAAACTCGAGTGAAGAATCTCTTACTACTGCTTCGGCGACTCCCCGACTATCAACTATATAATACACCTAATCAAAATCTGATAACCCTTCTCAGGGTAAAATAACCATTTTACCCTTGGTCAAAGTCAGCATCCATGTCAAAGTCAAAGTGAAGGTCAACTCTTAGTCAACCCTAATTCGTCGAGTTATCTCTCAACTCGATGAGTTCATGCACTACTCAGCCTCGTAGTCAACTAAGTCAACTCGTCGAGTCCATTCCCAGACTCGTTGAGTTCTTCCTATGATAACATCGGGACATATCGACTTTAACTCGTCAAGTCCCTCCTTGGACTCATCAAGTTTTTCAGCTTTCGAATCCGAATCTTGTCCAACTAACTAAGTCATCTCCTAAACTCAATGGTTTCACTCAAAACCAGAAAAGGGGTTAGGGTTCACGACCCGACTCGCCGGTTCCAAGAACAACTCGTCGAGTCCTCCTTGTGACATATTCATTCAGTCGATTCTAATCCATTCCAATGCTTCTAATTCATAGATCTGGACTCCTTAGACTAGTATTACACGTAAAGTTGCTAACTTTACCCGCATACATGGTGTTATGAAGCTAAAACACCCAATATAAGCCAAAATGAAGGTCTAAGTCATAGAATGGAATCATGGCTGAATAAAGGTGGCAACTTTGAGCTTTTAAAGCTCAAGAGTGCCCAAATCTGAAGTCTTTTCATCCCCAAGAGTTCAAATCTTGGAATGACCTTGGAAATGGCCCAAAATGACAACATACAAGCCAGGAAGGAGATCTATGCTATGGGTTATTAGGCTAAGAGCTTTTTACCTCAGAAGGATGCAAAAGACGGATGAAATCCTGGATCTTGATCTTCTCCACAAGCTTGATGGCTCCAAGCTCTTCCAACTCTCTTCTATATCACAAAACACACTCAAAACCTCAATAATCTCTCAAAGATGAAGCTCACACGAATTAGGGTTTTGGATGACAGGGAGGCTGGTGAGGGAGGCCCAAAAAGGGGTTTAAGTGGCTTAAATGGGGTGCAAAACCCCGAAAATAGGGTTTCCTCAAGCCAGACCTACGAGTCTAGGCTTGGACTCACTGAGTAGACCTTTTAAATCCCTGCGCCCATTTTGGCATCTAATCGACGAGTTAGGACTACCAACTCGTCGAGTAGCTTTTGAAAAACTAATATTAATTGAACTGATGCATAACAGGAACGGGGCGTTACAATTCTCCCCCACTTGTCTTAGATTTCGTCCTTGAAGTCTACTATGTTTGAAAACAATTCCGAAGTGCTCCCACATCTCTTCCTCGGGCTCCCAAGTCCACTCCGAGCCCTTGCGATGCTGCCACTGCACCTTTACTAGCTCGACCCTCTTATTCCTCATCTCCTTCGTCTTGCAATCCAGAAACGCCACCGGTCTCTCAATGGAATTCAAGATGTCATCAACCTGAATATCCTCTAAGGGTATAACCTCCGTGTCATCCACTAAGCACTTCCATAGCTGGGAAACATGGAAAGTGTTGTGGACCTGGCTGAGCTCGGCGGGAAGATCCAATCTGTATGCTACCTTGCCCACCTGGGCTATGAATTCCGAAGGGGATGATATACCTAGGGCCTAGCTTACACCTTTTCCACGTATGACACCCTTCCAGGGTGACACCTTCAGGAGGACCATATCTCCCTCCCGAAACTCCAAGTCTGAACGCCGGTTGTCGGCGTAACTCTTTTGTCGACTCTAAGCAGTCTGGAGCCTGCTGGATCCGCTTTGTGGTCTTGGGTACTACCTTTGTACTCCCCATGACCCTCCGACCGACGTCACCCCAACAAATTGTGGTCATACACTTCCTACTGTAGAGCATGCCGAAGGGAGCCTGGTCTATACTAGCATGGTAACTGTTGTTATATGAAAATTCCGCTAACGTAAGATACATATCCCAACTACCTCCAAAATCCATAATGCATGCTCGAAGCATGTCCTCGAGAGTCTGAAATGTCCTCTCGCTCTGTCCGTCTGCCTGGGGGTGCAAAGCGGTGTTAAAAGGGTGATGAGTACCCATCTCGTCGTAAAACTGCTTCCAAAATCTGGAAGTAAAACGGACATCTCGGTCTGACACTACCGAGACAGGAACTCTATGTCGTGCCACTACCTCTCACATGTAAATCTCGGCCAACTTCTCGGTCGAGATGATCTCCTGGATCGGTATGATGTGGGAGCTCTTGGTCAGCCGATCCACGATGACCCAAATCACATCAACCCCACATGTGGTCCTGGGAAGCTTAGTGATAAAATCCATAGTAATGTCCTCCCATTTCCACACGGAGATGTCTAACAGATTC